TACAAACTCAGATTCTACGACACAGGGCAGTATCCCCGCTAGTTTGATCCAGAGGAATGACAGGTAAACATGTAGCCATAAATTCAAACCAGTCTGGAAATACGCGATTAAGAGTTTAGGACGATGAGTGCCGACAAAAGTATGAGGTGTGTCCTGCTAAATGACCGATTAAACATTTCGTCTGACCCAACAATGAAAAATTTGGAGGCCTCGATGGGGCTTTGTCTTACGAAAATAGTGGCAGGACTCGAGTAAAGTCAACCCACTAATACGTGTGTTACGAGGTCCCTACTGAGATCAAGTACACTCCATCGGTTAGGTCGCTAAATTAACTTGGTTCTGCACTCATTTATATAATTTCTGATTGCAGAAGGGCAAGTGGACATTTGGGGACTTGCCTCCGCGTCTATGCTTACATTGGATAAATAGGTCCGTGGATATGGCATGCTTAGGTCACGATTCCCACCTTCCAACGTTTGAGCTAGACCATGAATACGTACTTCTTCATCATTACCTGACACGTAAGATGCCCATGTGCTTCCATACAGGTACGATAGACGCTAGGGTCTCTTGCTACAGCGCTTCAAAAAGCTATAATTTGGACCAGCTACTAATCTCTCCCTGACTGGTTTGATTTGCCAGAGGGAATTCAAACTTCATGTTTTCGTTATTGGAAGGTGGAACTGGTTACAATGGTTCAGTTGGTCTTCGCGAGTTATTTTAGCAAGCCTTGAGTGCAACGGTCGTTTTTATTATTTTTTCCAACTATACTGAGTGAGATCAGATAGGGGATTCCTACTTTTCTGCAAGCCCTAGGAGGGAATGAGAGTGGTTATCGAAAATATTCGGACAACAAATTATACTACACACAAGGGTTTTAATCAGTCGGAATCGCTGCTGATGAAAAGATCGTGAGTCTTGCTGTTATGGAGCGTCCCTGTTGATTTTCCAACGTATAACTGACCCCTGCACAATCGGAGCATGTCATTTAGAAAAAGCCGTTTAGGAAAGTCGAGAGACAGGAGACTCCTTTTTAGCAAACGCTTCCATAGACGGGAATATAGGCCATACACATATATGTGTATATATGTATGGGCGGAATGTTACTAACGACAAAGACAAGGGAGACTGGAATGGCCATTTCTGCCTTATAAGCCGTCGTCAGTCGGGCATACCGAATCCCGAAGTGTGGAACACTTGAGGTTCGGACTCGCGACCTGTTAGTTAGAAGTCCAACGTCTCTAACCACTGAGCCACGGGCTCGTTGTCCTGTCGGTTTTGATCGGGAATATGCAATGGTGGACGGGCGCTCACCGATCGTTCTTGCGGAACTCACTAATATGACCGTCAGAATTGGCTATTCCAGTCTCGCTTGTCATTGTCGGTAAGAACATTTTGTCTAAAAGGAATTTCGCCAAGAGCCAATGCAGTCACCTCGGACTGATGCCTAGTCATCATCAAGTGCACTACACAACTCTCTGATGACCAAGATACCGGCATTCTATAGTCACCACACACCAGGAACAAGTCTCTCCTAGGACGAAGAAGATGGATGGATGGATGTGCGGGGCCCTTGGCTGTTGCAGCATCCAGTAGTTTGCAACCACCAGGGCCTATGTAAATGCATAAGTCGCTCACGTGTTACTGTGCCACGAGCGTGTGTGTGTATGATCCTGGATAAGCTTAGACGATTTATTAGTGATCGCCTGGACTTAGCCAGTAGGTCCGGTACAGCCGACATATTTTCCGTTCGACAGCTGTTGATACTAGCCAAACAGTGTTTGACACGGTTTATAGTAGATGAGAAAAAAATTGACTCATGACTTAAAGAAGCGCTTTGTGACGGCCAGGCAGGTATAATCAAGTCATCCCCTGCAGATTGGTTTGTTTGCATACGCCTCGTTCCTCCTTTTTGTACATATTCTGCGCACCCCACGAGAAAGGCGAATTTGTCTAATTCCGTCCACACCTAAAGAGCCAAATTGCAAAGTCAGATATGGTCCTTACATGGTCGATGAACGCAAATACACCATAGTAAATATTCCCGATAAAAAACCCTACAGACAGGGATCATGCCCCAATGCTAAAAAGCCGGAAATGGGCACTGGAGTCTCCCTTGTCTTTGACAGTAATACCATTCTGCATTTTATCCTGCGCCGCTGTGCGGCTGCTGGTTGGGCTCGAGTTAGAGCCCGCAAAGCGCAAAGGAACGAAAGAGTTACTTAGAAAAACGATCGGCTAGAACCCCTCAACCATCATATATATATATATCAACATGAGTAAAGATTCGAGGACATGATAAGTTATTCCGTTCATCATCCCCAAAAGAGGACGAAGAAGAAAAATGGGCGATTACACGGACCACAGTGTATTGGTGCTGACGTTTCGGAAACTTCCTCGTTGCCATCATCAGAGTGGTGGGGTGTCTGTTCCTGCTTGCTCGAAGTTGTTCTGCCTCGCCGCCTGTCTTGTGTTATAGGCATGCCTGACGCACGAACTCTGACCTGTCTTCGTGCTGGGGATTGGCTTTGGTCCCTCCGCGGGCGGCCAATGGCGCGCTCCTGCGACCTCTGCCCCCTGACCGGCTGTCGTAATCGCTGCAAATCCTGTGTGCCCATGGGCCCTCACCTCATAATCGGATGGACGGATTAGGTGCCGTTGCATGTGCAAATCACGCTCGGCTGTCTGGGCGCGCTGGTGGGGCGATGTCTCGCGTTGGTTGTGTGACTTTCGGTTGGTTCCTTCCCCCTGCTGTGAAGGTGACAACTGTTGGAGGAGCAGCGACTCGCTCGCCAGTACTGTCGGCCCCGTCTGGACTGCCTGGATTCATGTACGCAGCGCCTGGTAGGCCGGATGAAGATCAATAGCCCTGTTGATTGTGCCAACTGAGGACCAGCTTTGGAGCACCAGCCTAGTCATCTTGTCATGGGCTCTACCGAGGACGCTTGCTTCCCCAAAGGCGAAACTATGTTTCTCCTGTTGCATGTGGCGATATACCAGTGACAGTTTATCCTCGCGGTTGACTGCAAGCTGGTGCTCATGCAGTCTTGTGCAGAGGCGTTTCCCCGTTTCAACAACATACCGTGCATTACAATTTTGGCACGGTATGCTGTAGACCACTGCTGATTGTTCCGTTGCCGGTAGCGGGTCTTTGGGTCTCATTATCTGCTGTCTGATGGTGGATTCCGGTTTATGGGCCACCCCAATCCCAAAAGGGTTTAGTATTCTAGCTGTCGCCTCGGAAACCTTCTTCACGTAGGGGATCGCCAGCCAAAACTTCGGCTTCCCAACGTCTGATCGCCGACGGGTAGTCTTTCGTAGTTTTGATTTTCAAGGAGCAGCCGTCTTAGGCAGAGGCACCTCAAGGACAGAGCGTCTCACACTTGAGGCTTGGTACTCAGATGCCAATTCCATCAACAGGGATTTTGGCCTTCCTTCGACCTATCAAATCCTACGTCACTACATAGGCCGTGACGAAGACAAGACAATCATACGGAGCCTAAGAATACCGAGCAAACACGGCCTGTCGAGCACTTCACCCAAAAGAGGAATGCAAACGCAACTAACCCCAATTGAGGTGACGACACGTAATACAGGAGGCTACGAACACTCACAGACGACGGTCAGTGGGCCAAGGCAGCGAAAGAAGAAGAAAATCGATCAGCCCAAGGCCAACTAAATCGCTGTGTATTCAAAATTCTGATCGATTTTTTTCACTTTACGCTTTGACAGTGGAGAGCAGCCCCAGCTCTTCGAAACGTCCACCAGAAAAGTTCCACGATCCGTTGAGCAATTCATTTTCCTCAGATTACCGACCCGGATCTATTAATTTTGCTAACCTATCTGTTTGCTGTTGTCTGTACTGTCGTGCCAGCCAATCTTGTCTGTTGATCTAACTTTCTCCGCTGTTCATTTCGTCTGACGCCGGGTCGGTGTCATCGATTTGAAACTTTAAGATTACAGCTCGATTTTCCGAAGAGCCCTCTTTTTCTCATTAAATCACCTCGGAATGCACACTACATCAGTTTTTCAATGTACATATGTACGCAGAGGTATAAAACCTCTCCCTAAATTGTTTTAAATGCAACCGCATTCCCACTCTGACCCAAAGAAAACTAAGTGCCAGGGCTTCAGGCTGGGCTAATATTAATTCTCTCACTCTTAATCCATTCCACACGCATCATGAACAGACAGCCGAAGAGCCAAAAAGGTCATTCCAGTTTCCCTTGTCTTTGTCGGTAACGTTTTTTTGAACAATCCCGTCTCAGTTAGAAAACAGCATTTACTTGTCTTACGAACTAGCATTCTGGTCAACAGAATTTCAAAACATGTGCCAGAGAGGACGCCAATCTTTAAAAGCACTCAAAAAATCTCTGAACGTACGCACATCAGTACTCACAGAGCGAAACGACTTGCGTCCTCCCCCGTCTGTTTACGCAGAGTCTGGAAGTGGATTTCACCGGGGGTTACGCTGTACGCTATAAGGCCGAAGAGCTTATCAAGCAGACGCACCTACGTTGCATTTTCTTTATATAAATATCCATAAACCATTGAAAAATATGAAACAAAGGCCGGTCAAAATCTTTCCAGTCAAATCTCGAATTGATGTGGGTGGGATCGAGTGTTTGAGTGTGTGTGTGTGTGTGCGTTCGATGGTACGGATGAATGGGCCAGTCGATATCAGTACTGGGCCGGGGAGGGGGAACGGGGTAGCCTAGTTAGACTGGAGGATAGGTTACCTAGAATGCCCAGCGCTTGGTCATGGCGGTGTCGGAGACTGCGTGTGAGTTTGAACATTTCCCCAGGCACGTCCAAAATCGGCCCCATGTAGGACCTGCTTTCAACGGCCACGTGGAATCCGCCAGCACAAAAACTCACCGAATCAGGAGGACTAGAAAATGCGGCCCCTGCTCTCCGAAGCAGTCAGGGCGGAGAGAGAGAGCACTGTCTGGAGAGACTGGCACGGTCAACCTGGTAGAGGAAGACTGGCTACGGATTGGCTACACAGTCTGCTTAGCGGCATGTTTCTTCCGGTGGAGTGAGAGATGGTCACTGCGCGTGAAGCTCTTCTGACATTGGTCGCAGGTGTAGGGTCGTTGGCCGGTGTGCTTGCGCTTATGTCGGGTGAGCTCGTCAGAGCGGGCAAAACGCCAGGAGCATTCAGCCCAGGTGCAAACATACGGCTTCTCCCCAGTATGCTTGCGATAGTGCGCCTTCAGATGGGAGCTCTTTGAGTAACTTTTGACGCATCCAGGAAAGCTGCACTTGTGTGTACAGAGGGGAGGCAGGTTCTTGGAGAGCAGAGCCTTTGCGCTGACTTCTTTCGGGCCGGTAGGGCTGTTTGTGGGTGATGCAGTCGATTCGGGGGAAGACCATATGTAGGTGCTGGCCAGGGATGTACTTGCTGCCGCTGACTGTGGAAGACTCTCTGAGTCGAAACGGCGTCGTGGTTCACAGTCAGTAGTGGAATCCTGTAAGGAAAGTCGATCCAGAGGTGGGTTTTCGCAACTGGATTTGCGACGATCAACTTGCGCTGAACCAGAATCAGCTTGATCAAGAATAGCAAGGCGGTTCGAACGTGCCATGGTTGCGGAACAGTGGTACTGAGGAGTGGTGTAACAGGACACGAGTTCCTGTGCGACCGCAGTAATATCATCTTCATGGTTGTTAAACACTTCCTGTTCGGGCTGAGTCTCGTCTGGAGCTATGAGGAAGTTCTCGACACCAGAAAGGTCCATCGTGCCGGTACCGTCGTCGCAGTGCAGGGAGCGAGGCTTTGATAGGCTTAGACAAGACGTGGAATGACCTATCTGCTCCATAACCGAGAACCTGCGTTCAGGCATTAGATTAAAGGACTCGTGGCCAGGTGTTTCGCAGCTGTGTGAAAAGGGTGCTTCCCTGAAACGGGGACCCGACCTAAGAATCGATCTAGGACCTTGTGTAGGCACCTCTTCCGGTTTAATTCCATCACCTGGTTCTGAGCTCAGTCTTGTGGAGGAAAGTTGTTGACTTATGTCATGGTAGCCAGCGTAATCGATATTTCGGGAGTGAGCATCGTCAAATGACATAGAATGATGGGAGTTGGGTCCGCTTGAATATCTAGAGACCTTAGGAAATGAGGCGAAATCAGTCGTTTTGCAGGTACATACATCCAACCGTGAGGCGTCCGTTGAAGGTGAGGTATAATCGCAGTTATGGGATGAACTATCAGGGTAGACCATGGAGGGCCCGGAATAGGAGGTCCCATTTACCTGAGCCTCAACAATATCTTCTGGTCCCGTGGAGATGCCTATGTAATTCTGCAGTTCGTCGACATTGCCGAGTGAATCTTGCGGGGTAGTTTGGTCTTGGTTTTGATCTACAGAATGACTCGGCTGTCGGTCGGCCTGAATGATCTCAAATTCCTGCGTTGAGAAGTCCTCGGGGGCTCCATCTTTGATCTCACTGGTGGCTTTCTGGGTGTCACTGTTGTCAAAAAAGTTATAAGTGGATCCCCCATCTGTGGAGTATTCGCTCTTTCCGTTGCCCTCATATATGCTACCACAGATGTGCTCGTCAAAAGTGCATCGATTCCAATATCTTGCCGACTGTTCAGCACCAAGGGAGCGACGTATCGGAACACTGCGACCAACGCAGGAATAAATGTCGCTGTTGTTGCCACTGTTGGAATGCGCGTACGTCATGTCCAGGCTCTTTCGCGGAGTCGTGTTCACTGACAGGTGATGCCCCCTATCCAGGCAGGTGTAGAGACTGTTCATATCTGGCTGCCCAAAAATGTCTCCGAAAGTGTTTCTGTCTCGGTGTGCGATATTCTACAAAGGACAAAAATGACACTATCTTATAAAAGGTATGAGTAATCAAAGGGCAGTACAAAGTCATGAGACACCGATGACTGCGAAACTAGGGCCCCTGGTCACTGCTGAACTCAAGGTTTAAGTACAGACAGTCCGCATGAGTACCGTTGTAATTCAGCTGATCATGAACTGAGGGATGACGCACCCCATCGATAGACAATCAGCGGACAGTTTCGATATAAATTTCGCACCTACTCCTATTGTTTTTGTAGGCGTTATTCAACAGAAGAAGAAGAAGAAGAAGAAGAAGAAGTAGAAGAAGAAGAAGAGAGGAATCATTCTATTGCGCTTTCCAGAACAGATTGAGAAAGTGTCTTCCTTCCCAGGAGATGGAAAAACCAACACTCTGCAGACAGTGAAGACAAACACAAGTCGTTCTGCATGTTTACGCACTTGGAGTAAACGCCGCGCTCAATATTAACTAAGGGGATTAGGTGTCGTGATCGCTACTTGTCCCCATTTACTAAGGATTATGTTTTGCCAGAAAGATCAATGAAGCGAAGCTGAGTACATTCTTTTTGGCGTTGGCCATCTCCAGAAGCCGCTTTAAAGGGCGCGCACCACTGTCTGGGAGAGGATGTGGCGGGAGTGCGTTGCGTTCCCCCTGTAATTGATTATATCAACTGCCTACTGGACGCGAAAGGCTGTCCAAAAAGAACTTCCCACCAACTGGCAAGACGCCGTAGCCCAGCTCCAGCCTACAGTTATGAATGCAAGTACCCCACAGGTTGCATTGGCCGAATCAGTATCACGCCCTATGGGCCGTTCAAACGGGGTATCTGTAATGTCAGCTCTGCAGAGGACAAGGGGAGTTTTTGGAGATCGATAGCCGATTGTCCTGATTAAAACACCAGTCGGCCAGTACAATCCTCTCTGTGGGTGATTCCCTTCCATTTTGGGCGTTTTCAGGTGTGGGGAATTTTAAAGATCTGGGTGTTCGTGGAGGAGGACGCGGAACGGTTTGATAGAAAAGCAAAAATTCTGTTCTCCGCGAAGACAGGTGGGACCATGGGCTTTAGAACGCTACGCCATCTGCCATGTTAGCGTGAAAATATCGTGCCATGTCCAATGAACGAGGCCGTTTAATCAGTTTGTTGATTTGCAGACAAAATTACTCTCACAATGCATCTCTGGCCCCAAGATATCCCACCTGTTTGCCGGCCGCCAGCTTCGATAAGACGGGCGGTCCGAAATAATTCAAAGATGATTTTTCATGAGAGCGACAGGCTGTGGATGGTACAATTGTCTACGTGCGTCATACAGGTAAGGTTACATTATCGTTGGAAGGTGCCGATTAACCAAGTATCAAACATCGATCGTTAAAAATGCTCACCAATACCAGACATGCGCCCACTACAGTAGGTGTGCTAACTCATGAAAAGTTGACCGGATTTCTGAAATGCGCTTTCAACTCAAAAGATTACTTAATTAGGGTTGTAGTATTAATCAATACGCAATATAATCCTGTCACATTTCAGCTACTGCGGGCCTCCGGCTTTTGAATGTACTTCTTTCAGGTCGCCTGAAAAAAGTGCACTTCGTAAGAAAATATTACTTAAGCAGCACGAATTTTCCGCATTGTTTTTCGATATACTTATAAATACAAATATATTTCACGGATATCATGGACGAAGATATTAATAATTTCACTGGCTTAATGGAAAACAACGTCTTCTTAAAATTTTGTGCCTGAAAAAAGACATAATTCTGTTTTAAAAAAACTGTCCCAATTTCTGAATAATTTTGAATCCAGCTTGCCGTTACACTTGCAGTCAAGGTTTCCAAACTAAAAACTGTACATTCTCCTTCCACGAAATGTCATACACTTCTATACGCTACTAGGAGGACATCTTATGCAGTTCGTGAAATTTAGCAGTCGATTTGTTCCATATTGCAAACTATACAAGCAACATTAGTAGATACCGAGACACGACGTTTCATGAACGTCTTTTCACAGTCCTAAAAAATCTCATGATTAAAAATCATTTAAGACCGGATTTTATACTTCCTTCAAGTAAAAAATTAAAGGAGACGCAATTTTCTATTAAACAAGTAAAATAATTAACACCTTTGTTTATGACATCTATGAAATATATTTAACTTTATAAGTATATCGAAAATCGATGCGAAAAAATCGTACTACTTAAGTAACATTTTTTCATGGAATGTTCTTTTTGCGGGCGGCCTGGAGGTTCTTTCAAAAGCTGGCGTCCCGAAGTAGCTGAAATACCATGGGATTATTGCGCATAATGATTAGTATAACAACCCTACTTAAATAATCTTTTGAATCGAAAGCGCATTTCAGAATTCCGGTCAGCATTTCATGAGTTAGCACACCTACTGTAAACTATTCAGTGTGGTGCCATATTAAACGGCGAACAAGTAGTGGATGGGTTAAAAGTGGAGCTCCTCGACCAAGGATGCTCGAAAAAAGAAGCCTTCAGATAAAGCACGACAACTTTGTCTGAACAGAGTCTGTTCTCATCCACCGCAACAACATCGCGATTACATGCGTGACCGTCTCAAAATGACGGCCTAGACGGTCTGCGAACGTTAATTCGTTGCCCATCCCATGAGTACGGAGCTGACCGAGTTCCTCAAAGTCATTGTCAAAGAAAGATGCGCTTAAAAAGACACTTTTAGAGGCACCAATCAAGGTCGGATGGATCCCACATACAGCAGCATGACCTAGGTGGCGTGAATCTACACACTTGCGAGATTTGAAACAGTTCCTCTCATTGTCCTTCATCTTCAGTGTCTGCTTATTGAAGAACCACCTACGTCTCGGGCCTAAACGATAAAACTAGTAAAAGGGATTGCTTCACATTGTTTGTGCTCAGAATCTCACAAAAGAAGGATCTATATTTATGTTGCTATGGACTCAGCGCTCATGTTAACTAAGTTAGGGTCCTCTAAATTTGCTCATTCCCCCCCCCGCTGCCACGCATTAAAAGTAGCAATTTAAATTCGATGATTGTGATAACGTTTTGAAAATTAGACATATGCTGATGTTCTTCGCATATATGCTAATGCATTTGTTCTTCGCACAAAGTCGTTTTGCGGTGTGCTAAATGGTCTGGAAATTTGTCATCGTATTTGTTTCCGCGTGGTTGCAGTCAGAAATATTGTTTATAAAGACTGCTAGTCATTCAAGAGTTACACGATAGTACATCTTAAGAAAATGGAAGAAGTTTGTAATGTTTGCTCAAAAACAACACTGCAACTGCCTTCTGTTCCTACTTAACTAATGACAGGGCGTATTACGTATGGAAGTTTATTAAACCAGAGAATTTAGCTAATTTAATCTCTCGGCTTCTGTGACACTGTGTCTTCGCCATATGAACATCCGTGGTTTCGTATCTGAGCGTTTGCATGCTAAATTGCGTCAGATATTAATGCAGGTGAATATATAAATTGCGCTTCTGTACACGTATGTAATCTCCTTAGACATTACTGCATTTGTGCTTTGGATAGAGTGCTGCGAAAACAACTTCTGGCGAAAGTAAAACAGTTCCAAGAGGAACCGAAAAGTTGAAAAGCGCGTATGTGTAACGATATGTTCCTACACGTCGGAGGTCTTGCTGTCTTTCGTCTTAATCGTTTCACGACTATCCGCAGTAATCAGCCAGAGTCCTACTTTCTCTAATCTTTTTCCTCCAAGAAAGCGACCCGCATGTGTTTAAAGACAAAAGCAAAAGTAAAAAGCCCCCGTATGCTTTCTAGCTCAGCTTAGCTGCAGATTTCTCCAATTGTCAACTCCATCCTGTCGGTTTTCTTATCGAACAGTGGTCCATCCGCGTGGCTCGTTGGGCGACATTCTAACGTAATGCACTTAGCCTTCAGCAATGTGCCCTGTCTTAAACTTTACGCTCTTGCCAAGCAAGTGTGGCGTTACGAAAAAAAATCTCTGCCCCGTGGCAGCGCAGATATTTATCGAAACGAATTTCAGTTAGTTCGAAAAGATTTTCATAAAAGATTTAACGGGCACCAACTACCTTCGGGGAGGATAAGGGGAGGAAAGGTTTATTTTCCAGTCTTCCGGCCTTCAGTCTATTCTCTCTATGCATTCCACGGTTCACCTGCACTTACAGTATGTACCAGGGCTAGGAAATCGCTGGCCATGCGATCAGATAATGAAGCTACTTCACTTCCAATCTTAATTGAGGCAAAATATCGACGTCAGTCAGAGAATACGCACTGACACAGTCATTGCTGATCAGAAAGTAGGATTTCAAAGAGGCCAACGATTGAGTTTTGAACAAATTCAGCTCGCGCTGTTTCGACAAATTCGTGTATTGCCCAAGCAGGAAACAGCCTGCTTCATGCTTACATTAGACCTGGGTTAGACAAAATCTGATTGGCGAATCATTCTACGGTTTCAGTTGTCGAAGTTCAAGAAGACACAACTTCCTACAGGCGAACTAGGGAAATTGTCCTTCGTTAGCTCTTTCTGCATAACAGACTTTGACACGAGAATGCGGACGGCCCGTACTGCAGGTGGCTTTGGATTAACTTCAAGGAATCCATCTATTCTCACGCTCTAACTTAAGCCCCAACAGTAACCTTCATAAGCCTAGCCCTAACCATCCTAACCCTTACACTAACGCTAATCCTCACCCAAGTCCTAAGCCAAGCACAAGCCCTAATGGCTGTGGACGTTGGCGAAAGGCCACCTTGATACGGAAGGTCCGAGTTCCGTGCCTTACTGCTACCAAAGAAGTGGAGGGAGGCTGCAATGACCATTTCTGGCCAAATTACGTGATCTGTCAGCCGTCTTTAAGTTATGGGTCGGAAATACCCAGAATTAAGTACCTCAGGCTAGTTAATCATTGGGAACTAAAGCATGTACATATGTACATGTGAATTTGTAAATTGATTGTATATCCATGTCCGCGAGATTCAGTACATTCGCAACAAACATTTTTCTTCAAAACAAGAACAATATCTTCTTCCCGTTCATTCAAAATAACTCTTTCCAATCGAAAATACTGAAACACATTATTTAGTAATACGCTGGAAGCAAGTAAATTAATGTGGTCGATTGTATTGGGAACTTTTTTTGATAGGCAAATAGGTTCTACCGTCCTTACCTTATATATGCATACATATACATGAGTTTTCAAAAACCCAAACTAATAACTTGGAAATTAGCATGTTTTGAGCACTGCAAAGACGTGGGAGACCAACTGACGCATGTACTCCATTTCATAACTTGAATATTTCGCACACAGTGGGACGTCCTTAAGTCAAACAATAATGAGCTTCCAAATCTCACATAACCCTTTCGAACCGCTGTAAAATAAAGAACGGTTTATTATTTCTCGCGAGGAAAAGAATCGAGTGAACCTATAGGTCGGACAACTAAGGAGAAACAGCATCCGGCATTTGACTTTACAAGTTTTAAGTAAAGGATCAGTGCTCTGCTGTGCACGAAGCGTTATTTTGCTGTTATATTTGCCTTTGCAAACGGGACGACCGTCGAAGTATCTTCGAAAATTCGATTTGGTTTACCAATAATTTAATATCAGACGGGAAGGCAATTGTCAACTGGTAATGCGAAATAGGCCATTAGTTAGAGCATTCAATCGAGGGATTTATTTCTGCTAGTATTTCGAAGCAGCTCACCCCATTTTGCCTCGATTTTATCCTTGCAACGTTGTAAATGCCTCTTTAAAGTCATGTCCTCTTTCAAAGCATATTGAAGTACTAGAAAAGGCTTGTTAATTAATCTGTACAGTCATTTGTCGGCCGTCGTCCCCTATTTTTGCGTTATCTGTGGGGAAACATGCCCTGGATCAGAATTTCTCCAGCGATCGCGTTTATGAGAACTCTAGTCGTTGAGTTTGAATGAAACCAATTAGGCTATACTTCTGGATGGCGCACATTCATTTTCAGGGCAAAAAGGTAGTGTACTAGAAGCAAAAGATATACCAGAAGTTTTTCGGCATGACACGCAAACACAACCCACTCGTCAGATGCCAGAATCGCGACCGTCTTCAAATAAAGACAGTTAGGACAAAAGGCTTTGTAGTTGCTGCGACGAGATCGCCAAGCAGGTTCGGTCTCCTCATAAATCTGATTTCCATGCTCTAAGCCAGTTTGCGAAAACACGACGTTGCCAAATTTTATTGCTGACACTTCTAAACAGCCAGCTTGAACGAGGTTCTAAGGCGATGTTTCTGTGATTAGTACTCATGCAGTTTCACGTTGACGGCAACCGCCGATGCGAAATTCGTAGCTAAGGAAATGCAGTCGGTGTCTGCCCGAAACTGGGTGCAATAGATTGGATGCATTATTGTCTGGCAGTGCTCTATATCTGAGTTCTACGACACAAGGGCATGAACATGTTTCGTACGATATTAGGATCGATGGACATTCTATTCACCTGCTCAGGCCCCCCTTGGCCAATTTTCGGTTGCGAGGCCTTGTATGACGGTGGGAAAAAATCAAGCTTTCTCGCAAGTGGTACGGACATAATACGCCAGCGTACCTTTCGCTCAAATTTACTAAACATGCCTATCTAGCAACGGATTCCGAACAGATGGCTTTCACGAGACATCAAGACCAGCAGTTACAGCAGACTACCTACAAAAGTCTTTTAGGTATATTGCTTCAGCTGAGATGCAGGTTAAAATCCGATCCTTTTTCTGCTATATCCTAATAAAGTCTTTAGCTTCGTTTGGGGTAGCTATTACTGTTTACATGAAGAGGGGTCCGAGAGTCTGTAAGCCACAAACAGTTCTGCATGCTTGCTGTTAAACAGGCCTTCAGGTGACGTACCCAATAAGCGAATGGGTCCTGACAACATTGCATGCGGGGGTTAAAAGTCAGTTGCTTGAAGAGGCCACTATGAGACGCTAAGAGCTAAAGCTGACGTATACAATTACATGACGATATCAAAAGAATGTTGTCGTCAATGATCATGGGTATATTTCAACACATCGGTCAGAAGCTAAGACCACTTCAGAAGGCACTTGTATCTATCGCCCTAATGATTATGAGATAAGGCTGGGTGGTCCCCTGATTGAAGTGTTCCAGCAACTTTTTGCTCAGAAAGGAATGCGAATTCTTTTTAATGTTGTGAAATCAGTCTCTTCAGAAAAACTAACTGCTGATGCGACAGTTCAGTGAACGGAATTACTGAGGTAGTGCCCAGGGGGTGAGGTCTGGGTCCAACGGTGTTGCAGTCAACATACCGCGGAGATGCACGCTTACCTCTTAGAACTCTGTTTATTTTGAGAGCTTAAGATTGAAACATGTTAGCAAGTTTTGCAAGTCCACCCCATCGGTGCCCTAAAATGCTTACTAGCCTATTAGCCAAGACCTGGAGTTCATTTATGTATGTGATGGGAATATTCGTAGACCGAGGGTGGACTACGTGCTAATGAACACTGGTTCTCATTGTATCGATGGGCAGCTCACCTGGCTCGTGGATGTCGATCAATTTCGAACTTTTAACTTTTACCGTGACTCACATGATTGAGCCAAGCGGTCTGCGGTGGCGCAGACGTCGGAGTGCCATCATAACTGTTCTTCTGCGAGGAGGGGCATGCGTTCCGTGAGCATAAGTAACGTTCCTGTCGTCCGGCGGAATTACAGCCAATTAAAGTCTCCTGGTGATTGCACCACGAGGTCGAAGCTGAAGAGGAGTTGGAAACGGAGTATTTCGGTAATGCGGACTTGTAGCTGCCAAAGACGTCGGATGCGGACGATACGGCCAGGCCCAGGCCTACAGTGACCGTCGAACTGGGTAGACTAGATACGACCGGTTCAAACTCGAAGAAGGAGGAATCCGGTGAAGGTTGACCGATGACCGTGCAGGAGTTCAGGTGTCCGTAGTAAGCTACCTGACTGTGGATGCCTCGGCTCAGTGACATACTGTACGGGAAGGGTTGTCCGGCGATTGTTCCGAAGTGCTTCTTGCGACAGTTCGTTTATTACTATGAGTGTGCGCGTGTACGAGCGTGGGGTTGAGGTCCGTTCTCGGGTCTGTGTATAACAGGCGCGGGGTTGCGAGTCGTATAAATAAATGACGAACTAATTGAAGTAGACGTTGGCACGGTACACACCTCGCCACCTCATTGGTTCGGGCTCGGCGCCGCTGACGCTCATGAGCCTCTCTTCGTATCAGTGCACGCACCGCGACACACCCACGCACAGCCACGAGCGCGCACCGCGCACCCCTCAATACCGCACCTTTCCGCGCCTTGACGCCAGCATGTCGGCAGCTCTATGACGCGGGATCAATGCGCCTATTATTAGAGCCCGCTCGTGCAGCATGTACGCGCGTGTGCACAAGTGAGAGTTCTGGGGGGCACGCACGTATGCACCTGGCGACACAGAGGAGGAGGAGGCCGGTGTCTTTGTATCCTTCGTTGGTGCACGTGCATACCATAGCACGTGCGCTCTCGAGCCCGTCAGAGGCGCATCTCCTCATCCACCACCACCACCACTCATGGCTGCCCCCCCTAGCACTTGTCAGCTAGTTGATCTTCTTTCGGATGGCGGGCTGTTGCCTGTGGCCCCTCGGGCGGTGAACATGACCGCACTGAAGCCGGAGAAGCAAATTTGACCGGCCGGAAACTACAGAGGCCCACCATCCACAACAGCTGCTTCAGTGGTTGAAGAAAGAAAGTGAATTATGTTGGTTGTGCGGGCAGGCTTGATAAAATTACCACCTTGGTGAGGTCACTTCATTTTGATGTGCGTTCAGACGGTCTAGACCAAAAAGGACCTCCAGGAGCGCTCAAATCTTTCTTGGACGATGGACAGGCGGCAGGAGAAACTGATTTTCTGCAAAGCGGATGAATGAGCGATCACTGCGACAATATGTGTATTAGTCTGGGCTTTCGGTCTCGTACAGGGCGTCATCATCAGAGACTGGGAGAGTGCGGCGTCAATTGAGTACTTTTATAGTCAAACAAAGAAGTCCAGACTAATTCACATACTGTCCCAGGGATCACGTGTAAATCTTCTTTGTAACAAGTACCTGGGACTCGCATATTCGCTTCCATTCGTAAACGTATTTTCTGTATGACGTGTAAGAAGACTACGCTGACCTGAGTTTTCTTAGTAGACAGACGGTTAGACCAGGGCAGAGTAGATATGCCGACAGTGACTGGGCCTTTGCCGAAGGCGCCAACGCAAATATGGGAATCTGTGACGGCAAGGTGATTGCACTTACATGCAAGCCGGTTCGCATTTTATAAGTCATTTTCTAGAGGCGGCACTTCCGCCCCTCTTGACAGGCGTCCTTATTTAAACTTAAAGTGTTTCTCAATTCGCCTACGCGAGCTCCAGGAGTAAGACAACTGCCTCAGTGATTGAAGCAGGCTGTTTGCAACAAAACTGACTAACTTGATGTCGCGCATTTACAAGGTCACGTGCGACTGACAGAACGACGCACGTGACTAAAACGATTTTTTTTTACCGAAATTGAACCTTTACTGAGGAAATCACCTTACTCCTGTTTCACCTGTCAGAGTTTTCTTTTGATGTGACGTTATGTCACGCAGTTAGAAGGCCTTGTAAAACTTTCTTATAAGCACCCCCTTGTAGGACTACCTGCTGGTGCTGTTTTAGTTTGCGTAAGCTTTCTAACGATTTAAAATTTAAATTACTTACGCCTTTTCGCCACTGCTACCGAATCTGACAGTGTGTGGCAGTCTCCTCGATGATTAAAGAACAGTGCTGTTTAAGCACTCCTGACACAGCCATTTTCAAACCTATTTCCGTGAAGATTTTATCTCCGCTATGATCACAATGTGTGCTCTCGATACCATAGCGAATAGCTATAGGTCTTCAACACGACAGTTCAACCGTCGTTGCCGACAATGTCCACCGTGTGCTCCACAGCAAGGCGGAGCAAGAACGGAGACTTGGGCATGGGTTAGTTTATAGTGATAGCAGACTTTCGCAGCACCTATCACACTTCCCATTCCCCATTCCCTGTTTCAAGACAGAGTCAAGAAGACAGTAGATGGAGGAGGACGCAGGTGGCTGGCGCGGCCGGAGACGAACCTAGGCGTGCCACCATACCCCTTGGTCCACACAGCAAATGTCCAGGATTTTTCGCCAAAAACACGAACAACAACATCCCAACAGGGATCAGAGCGACGAGGATGACTGGGAAGCCATGCCCACCACATGTATACTTAACGGCAGCGTAAACTCATCTACCGGCAGGGAACCAGGTGTCCGGGAACTGCCAGCGCATACCAGGCTGCGAGTGCCACGGTTTGCTGGTACTGGCATAGCACACGCTTATAGACCTTTTGATTTTTGAACACAAAGTAATAATAAACACCAGCTGTGTCAGTGCCAAGCATTCGTGCGATGGTGATGCACAACGGAATCAACTTCAATTATTCGTCCGTTGGGTTTGGTCCAGTGACGCACCACTTTATGCATTTCAGGTCAAAATGATGGAACTTTAGGCTGTTCGCTTGTCCAAAAGCGGACTTACCGGCTCTCAAGATGTGGGCGATTTTTGCTACAAGTCGAAGTTCTCGAATGGCATGTAAAAACCATACTGATACACTGGATGCGCCTGGGTCTGAAAATCTAATGCGATCGAGTTGCAAAACTCTCTTTGCGATACCCACGGTCGAAAGTTTTGAGTGTGGGGAATCATTGTAAAATTTCTGCTGTATTTATTCAAGTTCGTACCGGTCGTGATAAAACGTCTCTGCAGTGTCAATTTCACCAAAATTCGGGAGCTCCTGCTGAATATTGCTGACGACAGACAGAGTAAAACATTCCTGCCTTATTGACAGAAATGCTGACTTATGTTCATCTGCTGCAGAATCCATTTGTGGAGCTTTGTTGTCCCATCTGACTTGATCCAGGTGACGAGCAATTTCCGCTTGAGCGGCGTTTGTGCGGTCCGCTCAAATCAATGCCAATACCAGTACCCATTTACAGGGCAAATGAAGTCGCCAAATATTTCAGTAGACAAGTCTTTTTGAGTTTTGAACCATGAGGGCAACAGACTACCTTGCATCAACCGAACGCGTCCTGGACTATATATAGTAGTCAAGGCTATTTTTAAGCACTGCCATTTATAACTGTTAGGATCATTTTGTTGACCGATGAAAGACTTCAAACGTGTATACTGATTGCTCGAGTGGAATAGGACTAATGGACCGCAGGTAATGTTCACAGGATGTGGCGTTCATCTGGCTGTTAACAGATCACTTTGTGCCTTGCAGGGAAAGCGACCATGAGAAATTACCCTCGGTTAATCTATGCTACCGTATGCAGCAACGGTTTCCGTGTGCCTAAGGCATGCAATCCGCTAATGGACTCCAGTGTCCTCAGCACTTCACAGGCTTACATGAGTGAACAATATCTGTCAGAACGCACGAAATATCAAGACAGCCGACTGTTGTTTGAACAAAAATCTCTAATCTCAAGCTACGTTGAGGGTCAGACTCGATGTTCTTAGTACAAGACAGAAAAGCTGTCATATCGTCCTCCAACCGAGAATCTTCCGGTCACAAGCGTCCTCCTCACACGATTACAAGTCTCATCGCAAATAACAGATATCTGGAAAACTGCTAACGATAAACAAAAGTATATGAGAATAGCCACTTTCTGTTCGTTGGCCAAACGCATCGGATTTCACGCCTGGAAGACTCCGGGTTCATTGAGTGACTTTTTGTTGCTTTGGTGAATGGCAGCTAGAGTGAGGCGCATCTGCTCACTCGAAGCTTTTGAAGCAGAGCTCTAACAGCTGCGGAACACACTGCGCGAGAACGGATACTCAGATAGATTTATCCTCCGAAATGTTGATGAACGAATTGCAAAGCCCACTGTTGTGACTGCCTTTTGCAGGGGACGCAGCGAGTGAACTAGTCAGACGGCGCTTAACTATACCTGTCACGAGGGCATTCCCCGCGGCGAATTTACGTGTATGCTTCACAAACTCTCCCCTCCTACGTTCGGGAGGTAAAGAGGGACTACCGTTGGAGGCCACATCAATGTGCATCTACTCATTCACTCGCTCCTGTGGACCAGGATACATCGGCCGTACAACGAGACGCCTGGTAAAGAGGGTGTGTGAAAATGTGCCCTCCTGGCTAGACAGAGAGGAGGCCCGATCGGTTTGGAGTTCCATTCTCGCACATTTAATCGATATGGATCATCGAGTCTATGCCGAGGAAGCATTTCAGATTGTCTATCGGACACCAACAAGCTTCTCTAAAGACCTACGCCAACGGACACTAGCAACGGCCGAGGCAGTGGCTATCCGGTGGTATGATGTCAGAAAACCCTGACACAAGCGCTCCCTCTGTCGTGGCCAACGCCAACCTCACGGGATGAGGACATGTCCCCTCAAATTCCTTATTACAGTGATGGGTACTCCATCTAATCAATCCAAGAATATAACTCAAAGACTCGCTTAGCCCCCTCCCTCAGCTCTGAGGACCAACACCCGCCGACCTCGTCAGGCGGGCGGCGTGGGGAAGATGAGTGTTAATGACTAAATTGCCCTTGAGACGCCTATAAACGCTGTTAATTTTGTACATTTTCATTCCTTCATTTAACTGTATTAGCCTGACGAGGAATTACTGAAAACACGTGTTTGCCAACTGGACTTTTCCAGAACGGTAGAGACTTAAAAATTGATATGAAGTAAGAAGAAAATTTTGATTCAAAAAGTTTTCGGGTCGGACTATATTTCGCAACCGCATCTGCAGTAGACAAGCCCCAGGCTAACCCCTAAGATTGGTCACTAACCCCTAACCCTAACCAACCCCAAAGCCCAACCCCTAAACTTAACCCTAAACTCTAACCCCTAGCCCCAACTCCTAACGCCAGACTTCTAATCCTTACCTCCTAATCCTAACCCCTAACTCTAACACCTAACAGGTAC